TTTTAGAAAGAATCCTAAACCCAGCTTGGTGGCATGCATCTGTATTTCCAGCAGGAAGGTCACTTGAGCTTAAGAATTCAAGTCTGGACCACACAGCAAGAACCCATCTTGGGGGTGGGTGGGGAGAACCCTGATGAGTCACTGTAGCCTGAATCACCCATCATTAATATCTGGTCAAGTTAGTCCTCTATCACCATCCCTTAAGTATAATCTGATCACTCGGGCTTGCCTTCAAGAAGAATTCTGTTAGGATAGTTTGGCGAAAAATTCCTCCCTTACCCCTGATGTTTCTTAGTAATTTTCTATCCACAGGCACTCGCCACCACTACTGTTGGCTATAAATCCCTACTTTTCATTCTTGTCTTCAGAGGTGAATCTGATCCCTTCTCCTCCTACAAAATGTCATTTTAGTAACCTGACCCCTTGAATAAAGTCATTCTTATCAACTTTAACAAGTGTCGTGAATTTTTTTTTATCATGTGCCGAAGATCAGTAATTCCCTTCCAGATTCCCTTTCTTGACTCTCCTATATGTACTCAGGGATATGTGTATGAGGGCATTTATTGCAACATTGTCATAACAAATTTAGCAATGGCCTACCTAATATCCATCAGTAAATAAGGGAAAAACAAACATTATACATGCAAATGAACATTACAGGCCATTTAGAATGAGTCAACTACTCCACATATGTTGTCAGGGACACTGAATCAACAGAGTGAAAACGCTAAATTACAAAAGGCAATAATATTAAGAGTAATTGCTAATGAGCACTAGGTCAGCCCCACTCCCCCATCCTGTTTTAAGTGTTCTTACAACTGTTAATTCATTCAGTCCTCATAACAAACATAAAAAGTGGATGCTGTAATCATCTTATTTTATAGATGAGAACACAGGCAAAGAAAACTTTTAAAATATCTTGCCCAAGGTCGTATAATTTAAAGACAATACAGCCATCAATTTTCTCATATATAATCTTATTCATTCATATTATATATATGTGACACGTGATTTTTGACACATGATTTCTTATATAATTCAGGCTCGCCTTCAACTCACTATGTAGACCAGGCTGGCCTTGAAATTGCTGTAATCTCCCGCTCTCAGCCTCCCCAGTGCTAGCATTATAGGAATATGCCACCACATCTGTGTTCTTATCTATATATTTTATAGTAGATTTATTAAGTTCTAACAGATATACCATAAAGTCCACTCTTTTAAATTGTAGAATTCAAACAACATAGTGGAATATGCCTAAAATCTCAGCAATCTGGAAAACTGAGGCAGGAGGATCTCAAATATGAGCCCAGCCCGGTTGACTTAGCAGCCAACAAGATCTTATCTTGAAATAAGAAGATAAAAATGGGTAGCGGGCCGGGGATTTAACTCAGTGGTGCTGCCACCTGCCTCAAAAGCGCGAGGTCCTGAGTTTGATCCCCAGCACAAAAAGGGGGGGCGGGGTAGGACACAGTTTGAAGGCCCTGGGTCCAATTCCTAGTAATACAAAATAAATAAATTGTAGAATTCAGTGGTCTTGAGCATATTTAGGGAACTGTGAAAACATCATCATTAGCTAATTTTAGATACTTTTATCATTCCAAAAAGAAATCCCTGGTAGGCAGAATTGAAATTCGGGCAGTTTGACTTCAAATTCAGCCTCAGAAAATACAATGTGGTACCATGTATGTAAAATTTTTACATATGTCAAAAATGTATATTATTAGACATAAACATTTGTAATAAAAATGTCAAATATCAATACCTGACTTTATTTATTTTTTGTAGGTCTGGGAATTGAACCCAGGGTCTCATGTGCTCTACTACAGAGTTATGACTCCAACAGGCAACTAACGGAAAGATGGATTACACCTTGAGTAGGAGAGAAAACAGTGGGTTCAGAAAGGTTTATACTTGGAAGTTAGCTATTTCTGTAATTACCTAAGAAAAGTAATTGCTATGATTTGAATACAGTTTGTCCCCTACAAAAACTCCTGTTGAGAGTTAATCCCCATTATGCGTGCGATATTCAAAGGTGGGGACAGGTGAAACCTTTAAGAAGTGATTAGGTCTCTGCCATCATGAATAAATTAAGCCATTCCTACAATTAATGGACTAGTGGGTTATGGATTATCAGGTTATCTCAAGAGTGGGTTGGCTAGGTCTCCTGCAAGGTGCTTGTCTCTGCCCATGTGATGTCTTGCTTCGCCTTGGGACGCTGCTAGCAAAAAGGCCATCACCAGATGCAGCCCCTCAACCTTGGGCCAGAACTTTGAACCAAAATAAACTTCTTTATAATTTACCCAGCAGGTGGTACTGTACTATGCTATTAGCAACTGAAAACATCAATTCTCAAGCAAATACAATCTGACATCAGTTTTTATCCTATCAGTTGGATAGGGAAGGCTGTGGGATGGCACATGTCTGAAGTCCTGTTGCTTTGGAGTCTGAGGCAGGAGTATGTCAAGTTTGAGGCTGCCAGGGCAATTTAGCAAGAACTTGTCTCAAAATAAAAAATTTTTTAAAAACAACAGTCATTGAATTAGGGCCCACCCTAAATATTTCATTTTAACTTTGTTATGCCTGTGAAGACCCTATGTCCAAATAAGATCACGTTCTGAGGTAGTACAAGTGAGGACACCAATATTTCTCCCTTGCAATACACAGTACAGCCCATAATACTCCACACATTCCCCTACATTACCATTCCCTCAACTCTGCACTTCCATAATAGCACTTTCTCCTACCATGAAATTAGCACGCTTCATTTAAATATTAACTCTTTTAAAGCAGATCTGGGTTCTCGCCCTGCAATCCTATTCCACATAAACATGCTGGAAATTTAATTAGTAGGAGTATTTATATGCTTCCTGTGCTACATTCTCTGAATCATGCACACTGACTTAATGCACAATAGACACTCCAGGGCAAACTGATGAGTAAATAAGAAAGTGAAGGGGCCGGGGATTGAGCTCAGTGGTTCTACCACCTGCCTTGCAAGCTCAAGGTCCGGGCCCCGATACCAAAAAAACAAAAAAGAGAGAGAAAGTGAAGTGTTTGGAGAGAAAAATGGTCAACATATATATAGCTGTATTCATAATTTATTGTGTTTACTACTTAGGGAGCATTTAAAACATTTTCACTAATTTCCACAATGGATTCTCTTGGGATTCATTATGTTACATTTGGTAACTTAATTATAGGCTGTTAGATATTTACCCTATTGGCAATTTATCATGTGCCAGAAAGAATTCTTTTGGATAAAATTTTTTACACTTACAATCTAATTTGGGGATATGTGATGCCTATTCAATATTGTTATAAATCTTCATTCACCATGATTATGCTTTTTATTTCCAGTGTTAGGGATGGACAAGTGCTCTGAGCCTCAAATCCAACACCTCTTTTGATTATGTTTGATCCTGGGCTTCACTTAAATCTTTTTTTTTTTTCTGTGTAGTGTTTGCTCTTTGCTATTTTGTTTCAGCTATTATGGTGAAATTGAATCTAGGATGTCTTTTTACATTGAATAGAAATTACTACTTTACATTTAAGATGTGCTTTTGTCTGTTCATTCACCTTGATAAATCGTTGCTTCTCAAACATCAGTAAAAACGTTTTCACAACTGTTTCTCCTACCTCATCTGAAGCCTAATGCCAGCAGAAACCACTGCCCTTTGCTTTCATCCTCTGACCTCCCGTCATTCCTTCCTGTTCATGGGAAAGCTATAACATTGACTGGGTCTTATCCCTCAAAATCATCACTGTCAACTTCAACATCTGTACAGATGACACAATATCAAGTACACTAGTTAATGTTCTCAGAGAGATAGAACCAATAGGATATGCAGAAATATACGAAAGCAGACTCAGTAGAGAAACTGGCTTACATGATGGATCATGGCAGCTGAGAAGTCCCATCATAGACAGACTGCAGGCTGGAGCCCCTGGGACACTGGTGGGAGGACTCAGTCCAATCCAAAGACCTCAGAACCAGGAAAGCTAGTGGTATCAATGTCATTCTGAGGTCCATAGCCTGGGAACTCAGATGCCACTGGAGTAAGTCCTGGAGTCCCAAGGTTGGGACCCTGGATTTCTAAGGCACAGGGAGGGGGAAAAAGTCTATCCCAGTCCATGGAGAAGAGATGAATTGCTTTTTTGAATCTGTCCTCTCTGCCCCCTGGGCTGACTGGATGGTACCTACCCAAATGGAGGGCTGGTCTTCCTTACCTCCTCCAGTCAGACCCACATGCCAATTTCAGACACACTCAACATAATGCTTTACCTGGTTTCCAGGTATTCCTTGATCCCATCAAGTTGACCCCTAAAATCAATCATCAAACTGAGTCACCTTGATACCTTGTTTCCACCATTTTTCCCAAGACAGTTGGGAAAATGGAGAATTAGAATAACCAAGAGGCTGGCAATTGGTGTTCTTTGAGGAGCTCAATGAAGAACATAATGGCCACATTTTCCATGTGGTCAATGCACAACACAACTTGTATACAATACCCAAACAAACAAGTGGCATTAAAAATAAAACCTCTTTAAGTTGATGTCAGTGAAAATTATAGTGTAGGGATTTCTAGAGGCTTTCTCTCCTCAGAGTCTGAAAAGTCAGACAAAAAGATGAAATAATCACACTTATTGAAACTCTAGAAGAAGGCTGGGGATGTAGCTTAGTGGTAGAGTGCTTATTTCGCATTCATGAGGTCCTAGGTTCAATCTGCAGTACAACAAAACAAACAAACCAACAACTTCTGGAAGATGTTCCACTCACCAACTAAGTGAATAAACCAGGGGAAAGAACCCTAAAACAGGGTAAGAGAAGATTCTGGCATTTTAACTCAGCCTTAGCCCACATCTCCTCAATGTGGCAGTGGTCTGGAAGACGGCAGCCACCATTCCCAATGGGTATCTGGTCTAGGAACAGACAGAAACAAAAGAATTATCTTTATTTGTCTTCCCTAAAGGACAGATACAAGGGGTTTTATTTTGCTTACCTCACAATTCTCTTAAGGCAGAGGTGCCTCAGACGATGTGTAGGGTATCCGTGGAAAGCGATGGATGCCAGATGAATACACCATAGCTACCTAGGATAAACAAATAACAATTGAGGTAATGCAAGACCTTCTGAAAGCTAAGAAGGAAACGATGAATGAGAAACTTTGGGGAAAAAAAGGGCTTCAATAAACTCCTGCATAAACCAAAAAACCTAGAAAGCCACAGATGTGTCCAGGAGAGGAGGCATTTGCAGAAGATACGGATCTAAGCTTTCTCTGTTGGCTTGCCTGTAGATTCTGCACAAGCAGAAAGTTAAGAATAAGGAAAGATTGTGAGCAGCCTGGCCGAGTTTTGAAATAATACCTTGACACAGAGCCAATCTGCAAACATCCAGCTAGTATTACTTTTGATTTTTCAATGTAGTAAAATTCAAAATGTCCAGTTTTCACTATAAACATATGAAGCATGCAAAGACACAAACATATGGCTCATTCACAGGATAAAAATGAAGAGAAACTTACTAGGAAAAGACTCTTTTTTTCTTTTTCTTTTTGTCATGCTTGGGATGGAATTCAGGACCAGGCAAATACTCTACCACTGAGCTATATGCCAAACCCTTAGACAAAGACTTTAAATCAGCAATCTTAATGCTCCAAAACATAAAGAAAGCCATATACAAAAAAACTGAAGGAAGCCAGGAGAGTAACGTATCAATAGGGAATATCAACAAAGAGATTTTTAAAAATTGTAAAAAGGGAGAAAATAGACATTTTGGAGTATAAAAGTCTATCAACTGAAATGAAAATTTTATAGGGAAAAATGAGGCACTCTGGTGTATATCTGTTATCTCAGCTATCTGGGAGGCTAAGGCAGGAGGATCATAAGCATGAAACCAGCCTGGGGAATTTGGGTGGATCTTGTCTCAAAATAAAAAATATAAAGGGCTGGTAGTTTAGCTCAATCTGAAGGCCTTGGGTTCAATGCTGAATACCAAAAAAGAAAAAAAATCAGCTGGAGGGGTCCAAAAGCATATCTGAACAGATAAAACAAAGAATCAGAAAATATGAAGATATGTCAAAGTATCTTAGGCCAGATTTGGTGGTGCATGCCTATAATCCCACCACTGGAGAGGCTGAGACAGGAGGATCATCATGTGTTTGAGGCCACCCAGAGCAACATATGAGTTCAAGGCTGGCTTGATCTCCATAGTGAGGTTGGTTTCAAAAAACAAACAAACAAAAATATCTTAAGTCTGAGAAGATAAAAGAAAAAATAATGAAAAAAAATTGAAGAGGGACTAATGGACCTGTGGGATATCATCAATTGGAATAACATACACAAATTGTGATTCCAGAACAAAAAGAAAAGGTAAAGGATATGTAAACAAATAACAACTGAAAACTACCAGAATCTGTTAGATTTTATCCAAGAAATTCAAACAGCGTTCAGTAGAAAAAACAAAAAGAATCTGCACCAAGATGTACAATAATAAAAACAACAAAAAGAGAATCTTGAAAACAGAGAGAGAAGTGACTTAAACATACAAGGGAACCTCAATAAGATGAACAGTTGATTTCTCCTCACAAGCCATGAAGGCCAGCAAGCAGTGGGAGAACATACGTAAAGCACTGAAAGGGGAGTTGGGGTGTCTCTGCATTAGCGCATGTGCTTAGCATATTAGAGGCCCCAAGTTCAACTACCAGCACGCATGCATACACACACACACACACACACACACACACACACAAAATGAAGATAACACATCCCCAGGTACAAAAAAAAAGCTGAAGAAATTTGTTACCAATATGCCTTCCATATAAGAAAGGCTAAAGGGAGTTATTTTTCCCCTCTCCCTCCAGGGATGTCATTAAATTGCTTAGCTGCTTTTTGTAAAGCTCACTGAGGCCAGGCACTTTTGGAGATTAATACCATTTTTCTCTCCCTGATTTCCAGAGTCAATGCTACGTGAATGTAAATGAAAGGGTTTCAGGAAGTTACAGATAAGAGAGGCTTGGCTGTATTAGTGAATACCTTTATTGTCCAGGTGAGGATTCAAAACATTTTAGTGTCACAAGGAGTCCTTTTAGAAAAAAACTGCATTTTATTTATATAGGAATTTTATTTTTTTATTAAGCTCTAGCAAGAATCTCTTTGGAGACAATTATATTGTACTTCAAATCTTTACAAATTTAAGAAGACTTGTTTTTCCCATTGAGGTACTGGGAGTTAAACCCAGGGAGCGATGAGTTAAAATCCTAGCCCATTTTATTTTTAATTCTGAGACAGGATCTTGCTAAATTGCCCAGGCTCAAAGTGTCTTTCTTTTTTTTCTTTTTTGAGACAGGGTTTTGCTATGTAGCTCGGGCTGGCCTTGAAGTCTCTATGTAGCACAAGCTGGCCCCAAGCTTGCAGTGATCTTCCCACTTCAACCTCCCAAGTGCTGGAATTACATGCCCAGCTATATGGCCTCAAGCTTTCAAACCTCTTGCCTCAGCCTCCTGAATAGCTGTGATTGTAGGCACGCTACCATACCAGGTGAAGTAAATATCTTCAGAATCTTTTATTTTATTTTTTTTGCAGTGCTGAGGATTGAACCCAGGATCTTCTGAATGCTAAGCAAGTGCTCTACCACTGAGCTATACATCCAGCCTAGAAATCTTTCTTTTGGGCCCCCTGGATATGAGCTTTGGGTCATATACATTTTTCAAGTTTATTATTTATTTCTCATTATTTCATTTAAGATATT